GAGCTACAAGGCGGCTTTCTTTCCTTCTGCTGCCGCCTCAGATTCGGCGTCTTGCTTTTGTTCTGTGAGGCAGATGATTTCCAACACGGACTTGAACCCGCGGCCTCCGGCTGAAGGACGACATCTCTGCTCGCTGCATCCTGCTTAATAAGGAGCTTGTGTGGCATTGCTGACATAATAATGGAGCACTGAGTCACTCCGGCTGATGAATGGATCCGACACCATCTGCCTCCTCCATCTACGACCATCTACTCGCATTCAGATGATTTACTTACCAATAAATTATGAAATTTTCAAACTTCCAAGATCAAACAAACTCGTAGATCAAAGCTGTCGTAGGCGATGTAGCTCGCTGAGCTGGGAGGGGAGGTTAAGATTCAGAAAACGAGAGGATGTGAACGCACGCACACGCACGCACACACATGGAGTTGTTTGAAAGCGTATCTGCAGCTCTGAATGTAACCAGAGGAGCTCGGGCAGCTTTTGCAGACGGATTTAAACGCTGGTCACTCTGCATTTGTACTTCTTGCACCAGGCTCCGCGGCGGCAGCTGGAAGGCTCTGAGAGCTCGTGCTGTTCTGCAGGAGCTTTCTGGAGGTAAACGAGTAAAGCGGCGCTCGGCGTCCCGCGGCGGCCGCAGCCTGTCTGACCTCCTGACAGTCGGTGTTTCTGCTGAAGCCGCTGGCTGCTTTCGGTCTCAGCTGACTGAAAACAGTGAATCATTCGCCTCCTTTCTCTTCATATCCTGTTTCTTCTCCTGCCAAGCATAAAAATGCGTGTGTGTGTCTTTGTGACCGCGCAGTCTCACCTCGTTCCCTCCGCTGCTGCCGTCCGTCTCTCGTCTACCTCTGCAGCCCTCGTGCATTCCCTCCATCATCATTTCTGACCCACAAACGACCCTGAGAGACGCTTGTTATTTAAAACATATGCACAGCAGCAGCAGTGATGGAGAGAGGTGGAGTGGAGAGATGGAGAGGTGGAGATCCACTCGGCTCACAAGTTCTCTCTTCCTGCTGTGCCCATGTATTATGCATAGGACTGCTGTGCATATTTCAAGGGCCTTCTGGACTTGGTGTACACACACACACACACACACACACACACACACACACTCAATATGGTGCTTTCAGCCTGCAGTCAGCTGCACTATATGGCGTAGGTGAGTGTGTGA